ATTCAATTTTAAACGCCGAGGTTAATCTTCTCATTACAGTTTATTTCTGGTGCTTGGTGTTGTCACCATTGTGTCTAGCAGTGAGACTGAAACAAGGAACAAATTGTCATTAATGTTCTTGTTTGGAATTATGTAATATTTTTTTTTAGTCAGGACTATTAAGGGCTTTATGGGTTGTGCTTGGCATTTACTGAGTCTTTTTGGAACAAATTCAGTCTTTGTTGAGCAGATTACAATTTACTTTGGATCATGTTGATAGAGAAGCTAATTTTCCAGTTTATTGAATTTTCAAGTTGATTATACAGTTTCATGCTTAGTATACAGTTTACTTTGGATCATGGATTATACAGTTTATTGAATTTTCTGTAAGTGGCCAGCTTCGAGTGCTGTCAGGCAGAGGCTGCAAGATCAAAGAGGTCTTCGTATTTTGCGCACTAAGACTTCTATGGTATTTGATGATAAAGGTTGAATAGGTGCTTGCTGGGGTGTTGTATGCAGTGAATTGGAGTTGGTATCCTGTTGTTGTTGGGCTTAGTATCCTGGAGCTGTTGAGTTACTGAGCTAGTGTTGCTGATTACTGAGCTAGTCTTGGAGCTGTTGAGCTGCTTCTGCAAAGCCTCTAATGCTGCAAAGCTGTGGTGTGGGCTGATTCTGAGCTGTCAATATCCTACTAGATTTGGAGGGTGGAAGCTGAAGAGTTACTGCTTGGTGTATTTTCAGCTGGTTCAGGAAAATGTACCAGTTTTACCTGGTTTTTGTCTTAGAATTTGCAATAGAAAATCCGTTACAAAAACAAAAAATCTATTTTTTTGTTACAGTTTTTTCTGGTTTTGTTTTCTGTAAATAGTTACTTTTTTATTTTGGTAAAAACAGTGTCTGTAGTAATATGTTCCTCAAAAGTGGAAATCCTCCCTAAAAAAATGATGATATTACCCAAAAAAGTTATAATCTTATAGAAAAAGGTGGTATTCTTATCAAATACAAGTGATAATGTTATACACAAAAATATTGTAATCTTAACCACCCCAAAAAGTGGTAATGTTAACCAAAAAAGTGGTACTTTCAACAAAAAATTCATGGTAATGTTAATCAAAACAATAAACCAAAAAAGTGGTAGTGCTAACCTAATCAATGGTAATGTTAACCAAAATAGTGGTACTCTTAACCAAAAAAGTGGTACTCTTAACAAAAAAATAGTGGTACACTTAACCTAATAAATGATAATGTTAAACAAAATAGCGGTAATGTAAATCAAAAAAGCTATAATCTTAACTTAAACAGTGATAATGTTAATCAAAAAAGTGATACTCTTAACCAAAAAAATAGTAATACTATCAATAAAAGTGGTACTCTTAACCAAAATAGTAGTAATGTTAACAAAAAAAAATGGTACTTTTAACTAGTAGTAATGTTAACCAAAAAAGTGGTACTCTTAACTAAAAAAATGATAATATTAACAAAAAAAGTGGTACTCTTAACCAAAAAAGTGATAATGTTAAACAAGAAAATGGTACTCTTAACCAGTGGTAATGTTAACCAAAAAAGTGGTAATATTAACAAAAAAAAGTGGTACTCTTAACCAAAAAAATAGTAATATTAACAAAAAAAAAATGGTACTCTTAATAAAAATGATAATGCTAACCAAAACAGTGATAATCTTTCCCTCAAAAGTGGTAATCTTACCTCAAATAATTGGTAATCTTACCAAATAAAAGTGATAATGTTACAACAAAAAAGTTGTGGGAATGCACAATAAAACATATTTCGTTCGGTATTGGTGCATGAAAAATCATGGCTATGGCTTAGACTGTTATAATAACTCATAATAGTAGAAATTAACAAGCAATACTTACCAAAGCAACAAAAAAGCGAAGAGGGAAATATGTTTTAACAAGCAATACTCAACTCATAATATGCTTTCCCTGCCCTCTTCTTCGTCCAAAAAAGCGAAAAAAAAAACTTGGAATGGAAAATGTAAATTAAACCTTTTCATTCAAAGTTGCAAAAAAAATTAAAATTTCTTCAACCCATCTTTGTAACACCCCCCCCCCACTACCCAGCAAGATATTGTCCTCTTTGGCACAGGGTCACGGAACACCGTTCTCCTCCCCTGCCCTCAAGGGTTTGTTCCTCCCAGGGGTTCCCTGGGAAAAGGCCTCTTGCAAGGTAAGGGCTGAAGGCTTACTTATAAGCCCAGCAACTCCCCCCCTCCGTAACCGATGTGGGATACCAGGATCTCACAATCCACCCCCTCAGGGCTGCACGTCCCCGTGCAGCTAGGTCACGGACTACCGTTCTCCTCCCTCCTACACGCTGACCCGTGCAGGGCCCCACACTCGGCACCGCCAAGGGGTCGGCTCTGATACCATTTGTAACACCCCCCCCACTACCCAGCAAGATATTGTCCTCTTTGGCACAGGGTCACGGAACACCGTTCTCCTCCCCTGCCCTCAAGGGTTTGTTCCTCCCAGGGGTTCCCTGGGAAAAGGCCTCTTGCAAGGTAAGGGTTGAAGGCTTACTTATAAGCCCAGCAACTCCCCCCCTCCGTAACCGATGTGGGATACCAGGATCTCACAATCTTGCTCCATGATCTTGGTGCCCATTGTGATAGCATAAATTGATGGTTAGATGACAATGGTGGAAAAACAAAATTTGTGGGATAAAATTTGTAATTTTTGTAATTACCTCCATTGAAACTAGTGTTGATGTACTGTGATTGAATGGTAGAATCAAAACTTGACATCCCATCCTAAAATAACAAGGAATGAGTACATATGAAAAAAAAATATAAACATCCAAAGAGTATTATATGAACCTATAGTTGAGGATACCCTCGTTGACAAAGGGAATGCAACGGTCATCCTATTTCAATGATGGCATATATTGTTGCGATCCACCATGTTGTGAAAAAGACATGTGGGGTGGTTGGCCTGATCCACTATGTTGTGAAAAAGGAATGTCCTGTGGTGGCTGTGATCCAACTGGTTGTGAAAAGGGCATATCCTCAAATGGATCATTGGATTGAGATGTCAAGAGTGGACATTTTCTAATAGTATGGCCAGTGCCCCTGCATTTACTACATTTTCGCAGGTTGATTGAAATATTCTTTTGTGCACGATTATGATTATTTTTGGTTTTCACAATCTTTGGATCATTCACACCGAATTGTGTAGTCATCACATTTGCTTTGTGTTTGCCAAGTGACTCATGACGGGCTTTTAGAAGAGAAGTTCTTTGTTGCACCATACTCAGGTCATTTGAGTCTGAGAGCAAATGTGAATCGTAATAACGCATTTGGCTGCACATAGACATAAGTTCAGCATAACGCGTAGGAATTGACACATTCGGCTGCACGTTACCACATTCATGTGCACATTTATACCTAGATTTTGATTTAATGGTCCACCTGTCCATCACAATGGTATGAGGAAACTCTTGTATGTGCTCATACTTCATGATCGCGATCATGTGAGAGCATGGAATTCCAAAAGACTCAAATTTCATGCAATTGAATTTAAACGCATCAATTTGAGGATAATATCGCACAATCCACCGTTATTCTGGTTTTGTGAATCGAGAAAAATAGTAACTCCGATGACTTTCAATCTCGATCTTATCCACTACAAAAAATATAACTTCTTCTCGTATCTTATCACGGACCTTGAAGAAAATCTTTATGGTATATAGAGTAGCAACATGCTCCTTTAAGCATCTCAGTGCAGTCTGCAGCACTGGCCTCGAATGTTCCGACTCAAAGTCATCATTGGCCTCACACTCCCTAATCCTTGCTAAGCCCCTGTCATAATGCCTAACAAACTCGAATAATCGTTGTCTTGTTTTTAGAAAGTGTTTCAGGTAGGCATTCATACTCTCCGATCGTTGCGTGCTTTTTAAGTTGACAAAAAATTTTCCTCGCAAGTATACTTCGGCCCATTTGAATCGCTTTGCATAAACTTTCGTTATCCAATTGTTTGTCTCCAGTCCAAATGATTCAACCATTGATTTCCACTCATTTTCAAATTCTTCCAGAGTGCATCGAGCACACATGCACCTCTGAAATGCATTGACAAAATTTTCAGCATTTATATTTGTGAAGGCATTTCTTGACAAATTCCATCTACATAAGCGATGCATCGTTTGAGGAAATACTCTTTCAATTGCATCAGTCATTGTTTTATTTCCATCCGTAATAACAGATACATGCATCTTGTTTTCCATTGCATGAAGAAAGGTATTCAATACCCACACATATGTATCAATCGTCTCGTTTGAAAGTAATGCACACCCAAAGATAGTTGTAGTGTTGTGGTGTTTGACGCCGGCAAATATCACAAACGGCTTCTTATAGGCATTCGTTCGATATGTAGTATCAAACGTCACCACCTCACCAAAGCACTTGTAATCTAGTCGAGATGTCGAATCAGCCTAAAACAAGCAATTCAACGAATTGTCATCGACGATAGAATACTTGAAATAGAATTGCGGGTCCAACTCTTCCTTCGCGCTCAAGTAGGCTAATGCGCCCTCTGCATCACCGTCTCTCAACTCTTATCTGTGGTAGGATGTCCTGTCATTGTAGAGATCCTTTGTGGTAAACCCAATATTTTGATATCCTCCAGATTGTTGCAACACGAAATCCCTAATATGACTTGTACGCATATCAACATTGCGCAATGATATAGCTTGTGCTCTGTCGGGGCTCTTGACACGCCTGTGTGATTGGAGAAATGGAACACCCCATTGTGAAACCAATTCATGGTTGTGGTCCATTACAAACTCTTTTACAACCCATTTTTGTGTCTTCCTATCAAACTTCACTCGAAATGTTGCCTTGCATCAAAGTTGTGTTAACCCTTGAGGTTCCCTTGATCGCTCTACGCGTTCTGCATTCTTTGCCGACCGATACCCTTCTCTGGAACAAACCCACCGTCTTGAAATTGACATATTATTCTTGTCATGCTTTAGGTCATCCTTACGAACACTAAAACCCACATATCTACCATATGTGTTACAAAATTTTCCGCATCTTCATGTGATATAAATGTCATTGCAAGGACTTCTGTAGATGTTAAATCTTTCCTCATTGAAATGTCTTCAATTGATGTTAACTCGTCCTTGCTTGCAATGGCTTCATTGGATGCTAACTCATCCTTGCTTTTCTGATGGAAGTCCATGTGCTGATATTCATCGTTTTCAAAATCATGCAATATGTCATCTGCTATATCACTATTTAAGTCTATAAGAACCTGCTTTCTTTTTCCATTTGTTTCGATTATACCTAAGCAAAAAAAATTAACAATCTCATGTTGAAGAAATGACTACTATTTCTACCTATCAAAATAAGAAGATAAGAGTTGTGGACATAACACAACTAATAACAAACATCTATGGAGAAAAGATCATTAAATACTTACCTTGTTTGATTTGAATCTTTCAATACCTTACATTCCACTTAATTGCATGGATGATCAAGAGGTCGTTAAATATGTTGGATTGAAGTTAGATGGGTGATGAAAAAATGGAGATTTTAAGAGTGATGAAGAAACGCATGCTATAATTGGTGATTGACTTCAGTTTGTTATTGTGTTAAGAAAATTATAGTAGTTGGAACAGTGGTTTTACATTTACTTCACAATTAAATGCCATTTATTACACAAAAATTATATTATCTACTTAAAAACATTTTTTTTTACAACTATTATGTCAAAATTAGAATATCTTGGGCGGATTGCAAATTTTGTCTGATGTTCAAAGATGTGCAGTATATTATAATCATTGTATTCTTATGTTCATAACATGTTAATTTAAAAATTATGTCATACAGAACTTTTTAATTTATTATGGATTTTTGTATACAAAATGGCCTTTAATAAAGTTTAAAAGTTAGATGAATAAAAATTTAGTATTCTATTTAATATAACTAAGTTTTAGTTGGATATAATATAATCTAAAATTAGTCTTGATTTGATATTAAATTAAATAGAAATTTAGTTTTAATTTAAATAAATATTATTTCAATATTTCGAAATTAAATCTCATTTTTTATACTTATAGTCCATTAATTTAAATAGCAATTTAGTGAATGTGTTGAAGCTGAATGTCCATTAATTGGATGATGTATGTTTTGGGGGTGGGGAATCACATTCAACTTCCTATGTGTTTTACTATATTCAACTTCCCACTTTTTGACTTCACAGAATTAAAAAATTAAAGTTCATTTAACATTTTCTCCATTATCGTTCTTTAAAAGTGGGAGTAATAAGTTAGGCACATATTTGGGGTAAGATTATCACTCTTTTGGTTAATATTACAATTATTAAGGTAACAAAGTCACTAATTTTTGGTTAATATTACAACTTGGGGTATGTTTACCACTTATTTGGTAAAGATAGAAGAACACATAATTGAATGTTAATTTGATTACAAAACATATTTTTTTTACATCTCAAAATTGAATGTTAATTTGATTAAATTAAATCTCATTTTGTATACTTTTCATAGTCATACGAAATATAAGTGTCGATAGATTCAACTTCTAATGTGTTTTATTATATTCATGAGATCGAATATTAATTTATTGTTATGTTTATTTTTTTGGAAAAATTTATCAGATCTAGTGAGTAAGGTTACCACTTTTAGGGTAAGTGTACCACATTTTGGTTAATATTTATTTGCAATTTATGGGGATAATTTTACTACTTTTGTGTAAAATTACAATTTTTTAAAAAAATATTACCACTATTTTGAAAAAGGATAATACAAATTGGGGTTAGGTTTAGCAAACTTGGTGGATAAGATTACTATTTTTTAGTTAATATTACAATTATTAAAGGGCAAGGTCAACAATTTTTAGATAATATTAGGTACATTTACCACTTTATTATTTTTGGTCAGGTATGTTTAAAATATATTTATTTTTATTTGTTTTATGCTAGGATTTTATAGATATTTTTTTAGTTAAATATGTTACAATTTTATTTTTTTTACTGTAACACTTTTTTTTATAAACGATTTATTCAAAAAGTTTTAAATAATTGTTTCAAATTTCTATTTTTTCAGAGGCCTCTCCAACACGCTATACACGTCCCCCAAGAAACCAACTATTCACTTCACTTCACTTCTCTCTCTTCTCAGACCCTTCCCCTCCCTTGCCCAACTCCATGCCTGAGACTCTCTCTCTCTCTCCATCTCTCTCCTGTCTTTCTCTTTCTCTGTCTCGCAGCACACACAAATCGATAGCAACCTTCCACCCTTCTCTCTCCGAAACTCTCCTCTGCTTCCTTTTTTTTTTTTTTTTATCTTGTTTCTGAGGTACTTTTTTACAGTTTCTTTTTAATTTATGTTGTTTAATCTGCTTTTCATTGTTTAATCATATCCTGATTTGGGTTATTCTCACTGTTTATGCCATAGATTTGATATAGTATGCGTTTTTGGATTATTTTTCGTTTTTGGCTTTTCGGTTATTGATTATGTTTCTTTTAAAACTAATGTTTGTTTATTATTTCTCCATTTTGATTCTTATAATCATATTTATTGGGTTAGATATATTTTTTTTTACTATAGACAGTTTCTTGAGCCTAATCATCTCGTAGATGAATACATTCTGTTCGAACAAATTATTGTTAATCTTTTATGTTAATTGTTTGAGCAAATTATACTATACATTTTTTTTAACCAAAAAAATGGTAATCTTAACCAAACAAGTGGTGATGTTATCCAAAAAAAGTGGTACTCTTAACTAAAAAAGTGGTAATCTTTACCCAAAAAAAATGGTACAAGAGGGCAAAAAGGTGGTACTCTTACCAAAAAAAATGGTAATGTTAACCAAAAAAGTGATACTCTTAACAAAAAAAATGGTAACATCGCATGGTTTCACTTCAAAGTCGCTCTTTTTGGTATGTGTGTATATTTTCAATATGGTAAATTTTTGTTATGATTTGTCGGTAATTAATTTGTTCATTCATATTATTTTTTTTTTGTTTTTTGCAGCTTTAGACGTATAGAGGAGCTAATATTGCAGTTTTACACAAGTAGGTATATTACAACTTCGCAACTAATCTTGATATCTCAATATTACATTTTCAATACTCACTAGATACAATATTCAACATTAGTCTAACTTTTTAAATACACAGTCGAAACATTTTCATCATTGGTGCTTGATTGGTGGTTAAATTTGATTGAGTTATACTTTTTCATGGGTTTTTTATGCTTTTGTGATACAACAACTATAAAATT